GGGCGTACCCCTCGATCAGCACGGCTTTGGTGCTGTTGTTGAGGTCCTGGAGTACACTCAATGCGTGCCACGGATCCAGTGAGCCGTTAGGGAACACCACGTTTGTCACATTGGGCTGACGGCCCCCGTAGTAGAAATTGGTGGCCTCGACGGCCTTCTCGATGGTTTGGGCCGTGATTTGTGGACCGAATATATCGGTGCACTGTTTCGTGAAGAACTCGACCGGAAGGTTGTGCCCAAACGGACTGTCCTTCAGACTAGTGGTCTGGTAGTACCCAAACTCAGTGCACGTCTGATACGTCCATTGCCTCACTGTATGTAAATGTGCGTCCAATTAGTATTAATTTAACTAATAGTTAACTAATAATTCAAAATTTATCTAAACGCTAATCTAATCTCGAAAGGTTTCCTATTAATTAAAATAATTAAAAATTTTGTATCAAGCATATTGTATAGTTATGTGAAAATAAATTTTTGTCATAGCTTCAAATTCTGAATGATTTCATTATGTACTAGAAATTAGTACATAATTTGTATGAAATTATGAGTCAATAGAGTATATAATACGACGGATGACATACTCCCCGATGAGACGGCCGGCGACTTTTTAGACGTTTGTTTTACAGCACTAATCATTTTCTTGTAGTTAAAGTCAATACACTGTCCGCCGTGATGAGCTGCCTGTGCCTTCGCATACCTGTCCAGAGCACGGGCCCCACCACTCGGGTCCGTCACCAGCTTACAAAAGGCCTTAATATTGCTGTTATACTGAACAATACCCGCGACCGCATCCGTCAGACTCTCGACAAAGTTGTGTATGTCATCGGTGTCGGCGCCCTCTAAGGAGTCGCACAGTTTGAACAGTTTCTTGAGCTCTTCCCGGCCCGCAGTTGTCTTCAGATCCTCCTCCAACTGCTGCGAGGCTTCCCTTCAATAGGCAAACATCAGTGTTAAGGACAAGGCTGTAGTGATTAGATACCGGCGCCACCCTATCATACCTTATGCTGTCGGAGCACTCCTTTCCCAGCGACTGACTAACGACACCCA